CTCCAACCCCGCCAATGATCTTGGAAAAACCTCCGGCGTAGATTTATCAGAACTATGATACCCCGAAAACACGGTGGGCAAGAAAGGGTACACTAATCACCAACCAACCCCCTCGAAACGGCGTGTGAGTCGGACCGATTGTGATAATTTTCGAAAGACTTTCTAGAGAAAGAAATCCTCAGCTAGTCTCATGCTTCGCGGGGGGGGAACAATACTCACACCGTAGATAGTCTACTGTACGAGTACATCACAGACCCATATCTCGCCTCCCGCTACAATTTGGCGACTAATCTTCCGGTCAGTGGTAACGCACTCGAGTAGGCCATCCTCCAAACTACTCCTACAGAACCTGTGAAAATCCCGGTCCTCGGTTGAATCCGCCACACCTTCATGATCACCACCACGCCTCAATGAACTTGGAAACAAAAAGAATCCAATTCTATTTTTATTTTTTATTTTTTTTAAAAAAAAAGGGTGGGTAACTCAAGCTAGCACGGTACGGCCCGGAGAAATTGCTCGAGCATAGTCATCCAAGAACTTTGAGCTGATCATGTTACATCCGTTATCACTCGGCGTTATCACCCGGATTTGGACTTTTGATGCCGGCCGAACCTAAATTCATTCCCACTTCGGTACGGAACAAACGGCTAGGCTTGATGCGGGGCCCTTAGCAGGTTGGCCTGATAGTTGGCCTCCCATACTACTTTCGGTTACTCACATTTTGATGTATTAGTAGGTAATATTCACCTTTCGCGAGTCAGCGAATTGTGAGCTTATTCAGAACTGATATTGGGTCTCTGCTTGGTGAAGGCGGAAGGGTGCGGATAGGATCCGCCAACTGGTCGTCACAATATCATATCTTCGCACCCTCGGCCAGTACCTACAGAAACTTCTTTACTATAAATATCATTTGGGATAAGCACATAGCTCAGCCAGGCAAAGCACTCAAAGCAGGTATGATATATCAACACGGATAAGTCGGGCTGTGTATTCTGCCATACTCGTACATGATCACTAGACCACAACACTTCTAATCCAAAACACAAAACAGTGAATACTATATGGACAAGGGAGGTGGTTCTTCACCTATTCTGACTCCACAAAAAATGCAGATTCAGTTGCGATCCCTCCGATGCCCCGGTCAGACTATCTGAACCCCGCGCCGGCCATCTAGCATTTATCGGGGAGGAGTTCTGAGCCACTTGACTGATCGCGCTTGGGTGCTTTGCGGTTTATGGGTTGAAGTTGTGTTTGGGAAAATGCCTCATAAGATTGTATTTCTAGTTCTGTGAAAGTGCCAGGTACTGTACATAGAGGCGAGTGGCGTACTATCTACTACTATATGCAGGGACTAGCATTAGCAAACGTCAAGTGAGCGGATATCTGTCTGGTAGCTTGTACCGGTACTGCTGGATATTTTTATGGTCCCGGCTTTCTCCTCCCAAGATGGAGGGTGGAGGGTCGCACGAGACAGGTGTCATGCCCCTACACTCAGAACGCCGGAACATGGACTGCTGTACTAGGCTGGTGTCAAAAATGGTAAGCAGAATGGCATGTAACAACCCAAACCATCCTATTCTTCATGCTTCCCATTCGATACGTTCTAAACCCCCCCCCCAAAAAAAAAAAAATTTAATTTTTGATAGAACCCAAATATCTTTCAAATACCTCCACAAGTGCTCAAAGATTATCAAAGAATTGCTGGCTACTTTGGCATGCAATGTTGTAGAGTTGAAGTTGAAAAAGGCGCCAAGCCTCTCTCGGGATAATTCCCCAGCCAGTTTAGATACTTGACAGAGTTCTAAAGGGTTGAAAAGTAAAATCTAGGGAATCGTTTCATATGGATCAAGATTTGGTTTGGATCGCTTGACTAGACCATTGGTTGAAAGGGTGTGAGCATGGCTGTTCTCAGTGGAAAAACCCTTACACTGCTCATCATTTTTTGATACCGGCCTCGTACAGTACAGTACAGTACTGTACTGTACTGTATGATACGATCTTGGCAGCCAAAATTCGATCACCCCCTCCATTGTGAACCGGAAATGGGTGGTTTCGGGCACTCAAAACTCATTTGAAAGAAACATAGAATTTAACGAAATTAATCCTGTAATGTAGGTGATTGTCTAGACCCTCTGAGTGAAAAAAAATTATGAGAATTTCCATGCCCCATCATGATGGCTGAGAGCTTAGAGTCCAGATAAGATACCATTGTAATGTGCTTTTTGTATGGTAGAGTCATATAAAATTGTAGGTACCACTCGCCCACCATTATCAGTTCTAGAATTACACCATGGACATTCACCAATAAAGCTCATCACTCATAGGTGGTAATATCTAGACAACTCTAAAGGCCTTTGTAAATTTTCCAATTCTTCGCGGAGAGATGGGGCTGAGGTTTCGCAGCGTGAAAATGCCCATTTTGGCGTAAAATGGGGTGGGTGGGGGGGGGGGTCAGCGAACTTTGGCACCAAGCTAGTACCGTACCAAGGAGTGCTTTGCTGACACATTCATATTATCAGAATAAAAGACAATAGTCCATGGTAAACTATCACTAACCATTAAATACGTACTCGAGTATGCCCAACAATGACTGCGTTCAACCACGAATTACGTACCAAGTGCTCCCAATTGGGTCGAAACGGCGGTAGATCATCAAAAGCTGAACTTTGCTTTTCCCAGCTCAAGACCCGGTTAGTCTACCGTATCATCCTCGAGCCCACACAACCCATGACGGGTGCCATCACCAGAAAAAGCTGCCTGATAGACTAGACTAGACTAGACTATCATACCCCACACACAACTAGACTAGAGGTTTTGCACAGCAATACGACCCAACTCCGCTCTCAGAAGTTGCTCAGAAGTGCACCCGCCAATACAATACAGTACGGCATTGCTGACCGCACAATCTGCATCACAGCCCCCATACCGTTTCCGACCGTGTCAACGTAATTCCCGATTATCCATGCTTACCATATCACCAACCCCATGGCACCGTGGGGACAAAGTGGATGGTCTGCGGGTACAGTACTTGTACATTACCACCCATTGCGTCGGCAGCTTTTAAAGTGGCGCTGCCAATAGGTTCTTCCATATCATCACGATCACCGAGGAAGAAGGCTCCCCCTAAGTTACCCCCCAAAGCACCTTTACCAAACTTATCCAATTACCGATAATCAGTACGAGCACAGTAATGGATAAGCATACATACCGTATCCACGCATCCAACGGATAGTGATATCCATAGCTACGAGTAAAAAATCCATCGTCGCCACACACACCACAACAAAAACCCGGTCCCATATAGGAAAGTTCGGATCGACCCGTCGCACAAATGCCTTATCCCAAAAAACAGCTCTCCACCGCGATTCCAAGCTTTTAGCTACAGTAAACTTTCTGCGACAGCTAACTGTCTGTCCATGGCCCAACTACAAGTATCCATCGCCCGTCATACCCAAACGTAGGCCTAACCGAAATTGCTGCGGGAATATTTTACTCGCGCGTCCCCGCCAAGAAGGTCCACCGCACCCAATATCTCGCTCGATGTGGTGGGATCGGCTCCCCACAAGTTTCCGCTGGTACTTGTATGCCATGAAAACGGTCGGTCGGGGGAAGGCATGCAGCGTAAATTATATTCCGCGTAAAGTTATCAGGCAAAAGTTCCTCGCTGTTCCGAGGGAGAGGGGAAGATGGCGGGTTGGACTACCCTACTCTCCAAAAGCCAGGTTAGCGCGAATGCTGGGAAATAGTAGGACTTGCGGAATAGGCTAGCTAACTAGCTATTGTAGCTAGCTCCTGCTGGCGGAATGGGCACCGACAAACTTTCAGAGAAAAGCATCGCTACGAGTACTAACTATCTCTACACACCACTACGGTAGCCCTCTTTTTTTTACAAGTACCTCCAACTCTCCTACTCAAATAAATTTACCAAATTCCCATCGGAATATCCACTCACTCATAAATTGTGATATATAGACACAACCAAATTACCCCCCAAAATATCCGCATCACACTCGTTCCTACTGGCGAAAATCTAAGAATAAAAAAAAAAAAGGGCAAGTTAAAATCCTATTATTAGGCACTATGCACATGTGCCACAACCCCCAACTTGGCAGATCTCCGCATCAGTGGTGGATTGTCACGTCATTAGCCAAAAATGCCATCCATCCATTCACATCCCCCTTTTGGCCTTATTCATCCCTCGCCCGACCCTCGCACAACCCACCCATTCGACACCCCCCCCCCCCTTCAGATCCGTCTAATGTTCCCAACGCAAGACAGCGACGAGCTCCTACGAACAAAGCTTAGATTATGTCCTGTTTTTTTTGTCAGTGTACCGTAGTGTAGTCTAAACCTGTAGGAGTGCGGTACCGTACTGGTTACAGTTATTGTAAACCACCTCGTTAATTCTTGCCGGCGAGGGGACTGGATAGATTTCTTGGATCGATAGATTCTTTCGGTGGAGCATCACCGTCATTTAGTCATTTAGGCTGCAGAATTGTAGCCGGTAACAGGGCAAGTGAACTGTACGAGTACTTTGTGTTCTGCTGTGCCCGCGGGGCGGTTTGAAAGGAATGTGCTCGTAAATTTAGTCAATGAATCAGGTGAACTGTGCGGTAAACCCCGCCCCGGGGCCATACCGGTACGGTACCGTACTGCAGGATGAAATCCTTCCATATGATGGATAAAAATCTACAGTCATGATACCCCCAAGCTGGATATTGTAGCAATCAGGAGAAAGGCACACTTTGAAGCTAGTTTTTTTTTCTTTCCTTTTTTTCCTTTTTCCTTTTCTCCCCGAATAATTGTGCGGTACTTGTACGCCCTGTGTGGGATACCTGCATTACATTTGATCCCACATCCGTCGAATTTCAACGTCTTCTTACCACCCAATCACCCATTCTCCGAGCCTCCAGTTGTGACGAACAGTCACCACTTGAACACTTCACTAGGAACGGCTGAACATCTCTCTTTTTTTTTTTTTTTTTTTTTTTTTTCTTTTCCCCTCCTCCTCTCTTCTCTCCCCCTTTCCGCCACTGGAAAAAGCTAGGCGGACTTTTGCCTAGTGCAATAGAGCTGTGATGAGATTACCGTATGTGCAGTATCAATACCATACAATAGGGAGGAGGAGAGGGAGCGGTGCAGACAAGGAATAAAAAAAATAGACAAGTAGTAATCAGACCTCTATGCTCCGAAACCAATGCGTGAAAAAAAAAACGGAAAGTGAAAAAAAAAAAAAAAAAAAAAGTTATACAAAGAATTTCTCCACCAATCTCTTGATGAGTTGGTGAACTTTTTTTCTTTTTGTACCCGGTGGGGCGCATGCATGTACAGTTCTCCGCCACTTCTGACCTATCCGTCCGTCCGTCACCAGCTTACGGTACTCCGTCATCTAAACTAAGAGTAACAATACGAGTAATGGAACTGGAAGGGCCAACCAGGATCGGTGCCGAAAGGGGAAGTGACGTGAAGTAAAAAAGTGAGAGAGAAACCGGATAGACACCCAAACAACCCAAGAAGCCAAAACGTGGTAAAAGAAAAAAGAAAAAAAAAAAAAAGGTAAGGCAGTAGTATGGTGAATACTTTGTACAGAAGAAGTGGAATAAGTTAAAGAGTCGAAAAAAAAAAAAAAAAAAAAAAAGACTCGAGAAGCCATTAAAATATCGTAGCCTCAACCTACTTTGAACGCCCGCCACCTCCTTTCGTGGAATCAATCATACGCTAACCAAACCGCTACAGCCAGGCCCCCAGAAATAGACCGCCCAACAATACCGTGATCATCGTAGTCTTGTCTAATAGATTCTTCGAGCTGATGGATGATGAGGACCGTGTCGTGTATACGAGATTGAAATTAAATGTTGTGCTGTTCACGCACATCCCATCCGGCATCTTATCTTCCTCTCCAGGTTCCACAAATGTGATATCGGCGCACTATTCATGAAACAGTAAGCATAAATTCACCAATTACAATACCAACAACCCTTCTCTCTGAAGTACAATCATGTTGGGGGCACTTACGTTGTAAAGAGAAGCGCCGTGTAGTGCCACTTGAATCACTTGAATAGTAGCATTATCGCCGGCCTTTACAGAAGCGTTGACGGGCAACGGAACATCTCTAAGGCAGAAAGATCCCGGGTACGGATCTCTGCTCGGCCCGGTCATTTGAAAAATCGGTTGCATAACGTTCGTCATGTTTGGAGGGGTAGAGCCGAAGCCCATGTTAACGTAGAAGAATGCCGAAGGATGGCCGGCGTTCCAGCCTGGGACAATTGAGATATCGCCTCCCTTGAGCGGCCACTTGGTTCTGTTGGTTGTTACTGGAATCCCACCACCTATCTAGTTGTTTAGCCCCAAATCCCTCGTTTAAGATAGGAGTTAGTGATCGTACATGGATACCGCCATTGCATATCGTCCTTTAGAGTATTTCCCCGCCATGGAGGATACTGAAGTTCGAAATGTGCTGTTGCTAGGCCGACCGTTGCGAGAAGAGCTACGAGAACCAGCTTCCAAGAAAAGGGCCTTGATGATCGGGACATAATGTCCGGTTGTATGGTGTGAATGTATGCGACTAAAGGCTGTTGAAGTGTATTGTATGATCCAACGATTTCCAGCTCAAAAATCACCCTCCCTTTTCCAAATCTCGGGCACAAAAATATCGAGGGCAAGGTACTCCCAAAAAGGGTGAATGAATGAATGAATGAACGTGATTGATTCTAGAAGGGGTTCCCAGATTACAAGTGGGCCACGCGCCTAGGAGGTCGTTCGTGGGGAAGGTTGTAGAAATGTTCTCCTCGGCGAAGTGCAGATAGCTGAAGATTTTACGGGAAAGAAGCGAGAAAAAAACTGAAAGAGTGGAGGAGGGGGGAGAGCCAATATGTAGGCTGAAAGATGCGTCTGTCTGTGGGGTGCGAGACGGGGGATCCGTTTTCCTTGAGTAGGGGGGGGGGGTGGCGAGTTGGAGGTGTGGTCCCTGTAAGGTGGCAGAAGCGAGTTGAAGCGAGTACAATAATTACACCCAAGTACTAGTACAGTACAAGCTACGATGCTTAGAGCAACTTCCCTGAAACCCACTGGTTTGAATTTGGTGTCGGGTTTCTATGCGTGAGCACGAGTAATTCCGCCGAGCGTGTCTCCATGCGTGGGAAAGTACCGATATGCAGGTGGGAAGGGTTATGTCCTGTATTCAGCAAGGTGTGCAAATGTATTTAGAGATGTTGACGGGTCTCCGTTAGAAAAAATATCGGAATAGAGTCTGCAGTGGAGAACTCTCTCACTGTATTTTCCAACCCCCATAAACACCCACTAGGGACAATAAGCATAACTACCGTACTCGTACTTCCATTCCTCCTTCCCTCCCTCTCCACCAACAGCCAACAAATCAATCATCCTCGACCAACTACGGCTCATAATTGCCTTAACAGGGATTTGAACATTTTTCGACTGAAGGGGAGAGGAAGCGGTGAAGGTCTATTGGTTGGCTGCTGTCTTCCAACAGCTGCATGCCAAGGATAACACAAGGACGAGGATTGTTTAAAAGTAGCGAATGGTTTTAGCCATCTCCTTCCCCGTACGCGCCCACAACTGAAGTAGGGTACCGGTACTCGAACAGAATGCTCGACACGAGATATGATTCGCTCATAGACTAGAGTAGAAGTCAACTGCAAGTAAGCAGATGAAATTTGAACCACCCAAAACCACTACCCCTGTTAATCTCTACCCGTATTCAGATGATGAGCTTCATTTATGGTTGGTCTCGCTTGAGCCTTGCATGTTGTACCACCCACCTTCCGAAAAGGTAATAACCTCCAATCACAAAATAGTGAATGCATCCTACCGATGCTCTCTTCTCTTCCTCACTAAGATCAGGAGCAACTGGTGATATGCACATTAAACCGCAATGGGCATCTCACTTTGCCAGGATCCATTATACGCTGGAAGAAGAGAAATCAAGTGATACCGGTAGCTTAAAGCTGCTCCGGATTGTTCCCGGATTGTGGCAGTATGTGCTCCGGTACTCGTACTTGGTTAAATGACAGATAACTGGTTTTATCTTGGTCTCTTGTCAAGGGGATCAACAACTCCCCCCACCGTTCAATTAAATTTATTATCCTAGCCGCCCCCGACTTTCCAAACGTGGAGCCGAGAATACGAAGCTTTTCCATACCGTCACACACACCCATGCCAGCCTTAAACCCCTCAATATCAGAACACCGTCATTCGAGAACTTGCAAAAATCACAATGTTCATCTCACTTTACCCGTGTGGCTATTATGATACCATTCTCAATTTCCCTCGCATGATCCATTCACCCGGATGTCGTGACAAGTTATTCATCGCCAGCGACTAATACATTCATCTCCCCCGTGCTTGATAACCTCTGGTCAACAAGCCCAATCAAAGGTCCTAAAAAAAGGACTCGTCTCGACACCATCACCATGCTATAAAAACCCCAACTAACGGAGGGTACCTACGTGCCGGTGCCCCAACCGCACACAATCTCTCCACCATCTCAGGAACCAAAAAAGCCCACCCTTTCGTTTCTTTTCCCACAAGATCCGATCTGGGAGAGGGGGGTGCCGTGTGCCCACCTTCCCTCCGCCCTCCAGAAAGCTCGGACCACGGGCTGGCACCTCGGCATCAGGATCCAACAAAATCCCACGTTCAGTCTATTTCTATTTTGGGCGCTTCAACCTGCATACATATCATACAGCCTCCAACGGGGGAACAAATGAATGCCGGCTGGTGACGAACAGGGAACGGTAACAGGCATGATACCGGTATTTTCTTGTTACCCTACTTTGACGGGTTCACTTTTCTTTGCCCGCCAAATTGCCCCTGTTCGTCACAGCCTAGTAACTCATTCCTCGCGGCGTTGGGGAGACTGTAAATAAAAACTACGGCAGCCACCGTATGATACCCACATAGAGGTCCCAATTCTTGGTATTTTTATTCCTGCGCATGTTTATTCCTGCGTATGCAACAATGAATTGCTGTTGGCGAACTCACTTCCCCTATCCGCTCTTTCAGGGATAATAAAAGCCATACTAGCTAATCCTCATATCCAGACTCCTCTCAGTGCGAACGACATTAGCCACTCCTCCCCTGATCTCCCTGATCTCCCTCCTGAACACCCACACCTTGATTCATTTCGCATACGGACCTACCGATACCCCCCCCTCCCCCCCACCTCTCTACGAGTACTCGAGTGGCCGCATATGCACGTAATTGCGGGTTATGTTTCGTGCTTGACCGTTTTTGCGAAAGCCCAAGATGATGGATGATGGGGGGGAGGTTATTCCCCAAAAAGCTTGTCTACCTGCCTGTCGGTTAGTCCGTCTGGTTTACGGTATTCCAAGCGCCCACACGAAACCCATCTTGCAGACCCGCTTTAGACTGCCCTTGTAGGCGTTTCGACTGGAAGCGCGAGGAAAAATCGCCCGAATGTTCCTAGCGCACGTGGAACTGTAGGGCTGGCTGGCTGGCTAGAGACTTCTGACCTGCGTGACTGGTGAGGGTGGTGGTTGGGTCGGGATACCTTTGTGGCTTTTTTTCTTATCTCTTCAAGCTTCCCGCACCTCCCGAAGCGGTAGGTAGCGCTTGGGACGGTGTACTGTACACTATATTATGGATGTTATTGGTCTTGGCGAGGCGGGGGGGGGGAGAAGTGTTCTCACTCTTCGCGAGGTACCGACAGGGAGATAGCGTTTCGTACCGGGAGTGTTGAACTATGGCTATTGTGAATTGTGGACGTGCTCGTCGTCGTCTATCGTCGTCGGTTACTCTATGAAAACCAAAGTGAACACACAACATCTCCTGTTCGTCAACACTTGGAGCGGCAACGACAACAACGATCAAGATATACAAGTTTCCGAGTCCAGCACCGTGTCCTTGATCGCAAGAATCGAACATTCCATCCCGCTTCCCATTCCTACAATCCCTGCCATCTACAGTATGCCAAATTGACATTCCCGACATCCCAATGCTCTCACCCATTCCTGTACAGTACCAACACTCACACCAAACCCAACCATCTCTTTCACAATGAGAATGACAAAATGCCCCCTATAGCACTCTACCTGACGCCATGGCCGAGCGGGTCCTGATAAACCGTCGGGTAGACTGCTCTTAGCCAGCCTGGAGAACCATGGTTGGGCGGTTACGGGGTAACTAAACTCGTTCCCGGAAAAGAAGATTGAAGAATTTCGTTTGAAAATCGTTCTGATGATCGCTAGATTAACCTCGACGCTGAACCCCGCCAATCGCCCCCGGTGGAAGGAGGTCTTCACAACCAAACGAGCCTCCTATGTAACCACGCGTTGTCCCTCCGTTGTCTAATCTACCCGTTCCTAGGTGCACAAGTATGGAATCCTCCCCATGGCTCTCAGCTTCACCCGCGTGTCAGACCTCCAACAAACCTTTAACCGGAGCCCCATAGTAAGGGACCCCCGCAACCCTTGGAGGAACTACCTCTAACCCCCTTCCCTACCCCCCCCCCCCTTTCGCTGCCCCGCCGGGGACTCCAACAACATTCGTCGGATCCCGTTCAACGAGGTGTTCCATAGGGGGTTTCCAGGGAATATTGAAAGACCGCGGATAGCTCGTGCTAACAAATATTATGTTGGGGGAGGTTGTCTCACTGACGCTTGGAGTTAGGGAGTCATTGAATCGTTATATAATCGGGCCTGTATTTTCAACGCTATGACTGTCTACGTAGCAGGTTGCGGGGGTGGTGAGAGGACATACTTGGCGATTGAAAGAGTTGGGCTGCCAGACCACAGTATGGTATATCTATCTGCTTCGGAAATATTCTTAATTTCGCTAGCCCATTTCCGGTTAGGTTTTATGCTAGTGTGTTGAGTCGTCGAGATTCCAAGTTGCATATAATTGCCATTTATGGTCTACCGCAAATACCTCTGGCCTGGTGGGTGGAAGCTCTCCTAGACCCAAGTAAGCAGGATGGTAAAAACAGACCACTATATATTTCCTTGCGAGTGATGTCCTATGAACCGATGAGAACCTAATTAAGTCGTTCAGACTCGAATACTCCTCAAGATTCACACTATGGGTTGTGGGGGGTGAGAAGGAGTTATACAGTGGCAATTGCGAGACCTGGCTCAACTATGAAGGCTTCCGAGTCTCCTATCCGAGCCATGGCTTTCTTTGATAGATTCTTAAATTTGGAAATGACCGTAATTCATAAAGTGTAATTGGGAAAACAGAGAAGAGAAAGAGGGTGATGTGGAGAAGAGGCTGGGAGGCAAGGAAGAAGAAGAGTACGGGAGCGAGCTAATGTGGTCTATTTCCCGACACAACCAAAAATGGAAAAGGGAACAAAAGCAAGCATCACTCATGCCGAACTGGGAGAAAAACATGACTTGTCCCAAAAATCCCAGTACCATTGTTTAAACATTCTCGTCAGATCCCTTGGGTACTATGCCGCTCGGGCCAGAAACCACCTGACTCTCATCGTAAGTTTCCCCGGACCTCCCCCCACGACCGACCTCGCAACGAACAACAGCAAGCCCATCGTCGTCTTGGCCAGGGTTGAGTGTCTTGTAATTGACCAAGAGCAGGAATTTGTAAACTGCTGCCCCGAGGGCTGCTCCAAGGCCAGGACCGACCCCTATGCGGTGTTGTGTTAGAAGAGGTAGCTGTGGTTTTGTGAGGGGGGTGAGAGTGTTACAGTAGATCCAATGGTAGCCCGGGAAATCGCCGGTAACAACCGCTGGTCCAAGGGACCTGGCGGGGTTGAGTGAACCGCCTGTGAAATAGACCCCAAAGAGCTGGGTAATAAAGAAGGAAAACCCGATACCAAGCGGTGCAATAAAGGTCGCACGATGCTACTAACCGGTCAACTTTCACCACACAAAAAATCTGAGCAAATTGTCCGAGGCGAGGGACCATACTTTCTCCACGGCAAGCTAACCAGAAACAAATAATGTAAGCCTTTTTGTTCGGCACGGAGAGACTAGGGTGGGGAAACTAGATTCCCTACCAAAAAGATTGTAATCATCAATTGTGCTGTCAAAAAAACCTCAATAAAGAGCCCTTGAACAATAGAGACATCCTCTATCATGTCGCCCCTTGCATTAGCCTGAGCCCCGTGACTACGGTATAAGGTTAGCACACAAAAGTGCATACTCACTCGCCAGAGCCGTCCCAACGGCTAGCTGTCCGGGCGTGAGTCCTTCAACAAGGCCAGACGCAGCAATCCCTCCGACCAATTGAGCAATTCCGATTAGAGCACCTTTGAGAGGAGGAACCCCTCCGACAAGGACACATCCGAAAGTGATAGCTGGGTTGAACAATGCACCAGTGACGCGGTAGAAGACCCAAACATTGACGGTAAGGGCAAACCCAAAACAGATGGACACATAAAGTAGAAGGTCCGGTGATGGGATAGCGCTAGTAGGGTCTTTAGGGAGAGTGCCGCTGCCAGAATGATTGATTTTGACTGCCTGTGTGCCGCCAAATGCGAAGAACAGGAATAGGAAGGTTCCTGTGAAACATGAAGTTAGTTGGTCTTTAAAACAAGTAGATGCGATATAGAGTGTAGAATTGGGTACCTAGAAATTCTCCAAACTGTACAGGGCACGGTAATATCAGTATGTGAGTTCTTCAACCAATTCATCTTGCGACTGCGGAACATACAACTGCAAGAGCATCTATGAAACCAGGTGTCAATACCCTAGCTGCCTAACTACGTAGAATAATGAGAGGGCTGAGCCTACAGTCTCTGGGAATATTCTGCTTCAAGGGAACGCGCGATCCCACATTGAGGCTAGCGTTCTCAGAATCAGCCCCTTCAAGTGGCGCGGTACGGGAAGTTGTGCCGGATTTATGTCCAGCCATTTTGCGAGCGCTGTCCGTCAAAGTAATTAAACAAGATTTAGAGGATGTTCAAGAAAAATATATCTTTATTGTTGGGAGTTTAAGAGAGTGGGAGGTAGTGGTGGTATAATAGCAGCGGCGCTGGTGAGATTGTGTAGGAGTTTTGGTGGTAGTGATGCTTGCCGTTCGGAAAAAGGTATGAGGCGGCGATGTCCAAAGCCCAACCGGAGAGTGCGGTAGCAGAGGATGCGAGCCCCAGGTATTATATACATTGTAGACCACCCGACACACCGTCCCCGAGAAAAAGACACTTTACGCTGGGTTAAGTTGTCTAGCCTCGTTAACCATTTTGTGCTTACCACTACAAACCCGATTCTCTCGACTGCGGAATCTCGATGCACTCTTTATTAAAGTATCATGCAATAAAACTAATCTGACACATAAACCCCACTTTGCCTTCCCCTCGGGTCCTATTTTGATAACGGATTGTAGACCATAGACCGGAGCCGAAAGAGTCATGGCAGCCTTCCGACATTCATCCTGTGAATTGGCAGTAAGGACTCCACTCCGGCAACTTTTTGGAACAAAGAGATGTGAGAGCAGGAACTTCAGGTAGGTTGAGGAACCAAAGTGCCCTAACCAATAAACACTCTCGATGTATAATTGTATAATTCGAAATCCAAACATCATTTTCGAGGAACGTAGATAGATATAACTGTTGTTGTCTTGATTCAAGAGAGAATTGTCTCAGGACGTCAGGGTTTCCTATTTTGACGGGAACGGGAGAAAGTGCCAGCAAAGTAAGACAGCGCCTTACCTAGAAGAGAAACCTAGACGTCCAGAGAATTCCCTCTTATTCAAGATAATACGAACAAAGAGTCGCCGTTTGCGGGGCATTTTTTCTTTCTCTTGAAAAAAGTATCGAATCACCTTCGGTCCAACTTCTCGACATACCGGTATGAGGAGATGCAGTGTGTGCCGTTTTCAGCTCGGCTTTGATGTATCATACTGTACTGTACAGTACTGTACTGTACCACAAAAACATCAATGATAGGGTTGGCAGTCATTTCGGGAGTTCACTCGCATAGCGCCACGACTTATTTTTCAGCATCCTTGCAGCCTATCTTGGTGTGAGGTTACCATCTTCTAATAGTGAAATATAAATGGTGCAGAGAAGACTGCCGGGTGCGCTCGCGGGCAGTCCTGTTTCTAATACGACAAGAAAGATCTTCCTGGTATAGAAATTCCTCCCCCATTGCAATGGGGGGAACGGACTTCTGTGTAATGAGCTTTCTTGAGTAAGATTGCTGTAGCGCAATGATGCCTTGTTGTATAGCTTACCACATTTTGAGGCCTTGCCAATGGCTTCGCGCGCCAAAAGTGCTGCTAAGCTTATGGAGCTCAATGTGGCTTCCGAAGTGCAGAGGAAGCTATGGAGTGGAAAATTCCGCCGGGGTGCCTTACGAAGGACAATCACATATTATAGCTAGAAAGTGTTCTACTCGAGGGCCATACTAGCCCTGTAATGTCGGTATAGCCTCATCTATCTACCGTGTCGGTAATATGTGGTTCTAATAGCGATGCCAAGCATGAATATTAAATTGCTTTTGTAGCGAAGCCGATGCGCCTGGCTGAGTAGAGATAGTACAAAGAGGCCCGCGGGGTGCTAGAACAGAACCATAGGGTCATTCGGCGTCTGAAAGTAAGAGAATATATGTATGTACCCACAGGTCACTCTAGTGTTTCATAATTTCAAGTTGATTGGTGTTGTTTCCGAATACGGCTCACAGAGGGCCGTACCAGATGGAGACCTTTGTCCAACCTGAGAAACAGAAGTTAAATTAGTTTAGTATAACAGAGGCAGTAGTTCATATGGGTAAATCTAGCAAAGGAGGTACCACAGGGGGTCTCGTACTCCCTGCTCCTTACGAGTTGAAGGCGGGGGTGGCGACGAAGCAAACGATACTGCCAGAATTAAAACAATACTCAAGACAAGTAACTACTAGTGCAATGAAAAAGAGAAGCGTATGTCAGTTATAGAATAGAAATTAAAGAAAAGGTATATTCAAAGCCTGTAATTACGTGTTTGAAGTATTATTTTCTATCTCTTTTAGAGGTTCAGTGGTTGAGATTTCTTAACTCTCTGGAAATGACTCAATGCTACAAAACTATTGTTACTATTTCTTGTCTGCATCTATTTTCCAAGAGGAGTGTGGTCTAATTCCTACCCATCTGCTTTGGCCTTCAGGCTTTTCTACATTTTCCTTCTCTTAAAATCTATTTCTTAAACTATCTTCTCCCTTCTCCTACCATTTTACAATATTGATTACCTCTTTGCTCCTCTTTTCCTTAAGTCTAGTAAGTCTATTATAAGCAACTCCTTGTTTTCATTTAGCAGATGGGTGAGAGAACAGTTAGCAGTACAGGAGAAGCTTCTAATAAGTGATTATTAATTTTACTTATATCTGTATTCTAAGTTAGTAGAATAAATATATAAATATAATTCTATAGTTTTATCATTTAAATGAACACCTCCTGCCACTATTTACTTTACTGTTTATTGGTATTATATGTCATAGTTTGACTGTCTATATTATAATATAATAATATTATATAGTAATAATAATAATTATCTTAACTTGCAATAAACCAACATAATTAGTAACTCAACCAATAGAGTTCTAATTTCTCTTATATTTACTGAGTATTAAGAAGTACAATAACAACAAATAGTAAAAGTAATGGAGGTTACTAGGGAGTGATAAATAGAATACTAGTATTAAAGAGTTAATTTAATAGGTACTATAGATAGGAAAGAATAATAAATAGTTGTACAAAGAAGTATCTAATTGCCCAACTCTTTATCTTTATATAAACCTCTTACTGCAATCTTAAAACTCTATAACTATAAGGTTATAAAGATAGTACTATGTAAAGTTCATAGTATTATATAACTCAAAAGTGTAATATTATGTTTATAATAGATAACTGATAATAACCTGATAACTCATAATTGGGAATTCACTAGAATAATATTATAATATAAAACCCTCACACTACTGGTAGTAGGTATATTATAGGAGCCTTGTAAGGCTTGCTTTAGTATTTATGAATTATTTTTTCTCAGCAGGATAACTTGAACACACTAATCTACAAAACCTATAATTAGTTGGAATTTTTATGAACTGACTAGTGGCCAAAAATATCAGTGCAGTTGAGTATTCTTATTACTTTCCTGATCTGAACCTGGGTAAAATTGAATAATTTGAACTTAAAAATAATTGAGTTAATAGTAGCCAAGTATTGTATTGGAGATATCCCAGGAGGAAAAGAAGTTGTTAAAAAGAGGCCAGCATAGGTACTTTCTTTGGTTTATGGAAAAAGGAGTTTTTTTTTTTTTTTTCAAAAATGTGTGGAGATTACTACCTAATAAAAGTGATTGCGGTTCTAAAAAAACAAAGGGTATGATATTATACCAAGTACTAGTTATTAGATTAAATTTTTCTTATCTTTTATAATAACAAATTATGCCTTTTTTCTTCCTTATACACATAGGTTGATCGTTGACCTTTCAAGTTGATTATTGAACTTTGATTATGGAGTGATCTTGGAGGACCGATCTCGGAGCGATGATCGTGGAGTGTTGTTGATTATGAAGTGTTGTAAAACCCGGGAGAATGAACCCCACCGCTCCACCTCCCGACTGCAGAATCGCAACATCTCCCAGATCACGAAAACTTCTCTCAAGTGGCTGCACGTATCGGCATATGTGCAGTTCCCTAAACTCTCTCCCCAAGTTAGCACCCCTGCCCTTCAGAGCACGTCCCTCTTTTATTTATTCCTTTGCCTTGCCATTAGGGTTATTATGATATATGGGGGTTTGATATGATTTTTCCTTCATTAGCCCGGGAAGTGTGAGCCTTTTCGCCACAGCTGCCGGCATAATTACTATCCTTC